CTCTGTGTGTGTGTCTCTGTGTGTGTGTCTCTGTGTGTGTGTCTCTGTGTGTGTGTCTCTGTGTGTGTGTCTCTGTGTGTGTCTGTCTGTCTGTCTGTCTGCCTGTCTGTCTGTCTGCAACACTCCGTTTCGAGCAAAGGCTGCCAAGTAGCTCATGAATAACGTCCATGCATCCATGGCACCAACTTCCAATAGTAGTAGTAGTCGAAGTGGACGGCACACTGACGTGGTGTAGCCGCCCCCATTCTCCAGTAGGGGCCCTCAAATCAACTGTGCAGCTGTACGGCGCAAAATGCGCCTTTGCTGAAGAACCTCCTTCATGCTGTCGTGCCACGCCTGCGTCGCCGCAAGCTGGGCATTGAGTGCCCGCCAGGTCCAGTCCTCGGCCACAGTCACGCTGGCCTTGAGCTGCTGCCACCACACGTGTAGCCTGTCCAGCTGCTTGGTTGCCGCCTCGTCCGCGTCCTCGTTGAGCTTGCGGCACTGTCCATCTGAAGGCCACCCTTCAGGCGGCTTCCATTCCCGCCGCTTGCCGTGCGAGGGAATCCACGCCACCGTGAGGAAGGGCAGCGCTGCCCGCACCTCGCTCCAGAAAGTCCAGAGCTCCCGGTCCTCCCTGTCGAAGTCTCTGCGCCTCGCGCATCCTTGGCAGATGGGCAAGTTGTCCACGAGAACTTTGACTTGCCTCTGGGCCATCGTAGCAGCCCGGCAGAGCACGCGAAAGGCCGTTCTCTCGCCCGCCGCCGCAGTCCGTTCCGCCCCGGTGACAAGGCCAGAAAACACCTTGCCGTCCACCACCACTGCCCAGGCTGCTGCCCGCCAGTTGTAGTGCTCCCCCAGCAGCTTAGCCCCGCCGTCCGTAGCCACCAGCACGCCGTCGTCGAGTGTTGCCAAAGTCGCCGCCAGCTCGCCGACGTGGGTCTCCTCGTCGTCCCTGGCCTCGAAGGTGTAGGGCTCGAAGTCAACCACTGCACACAGTAGCCTCCGCTCCTGCTCGGTTCGAAGGTCTCCTGGCCACGGTCTGCAGGGGCACTCGAAGGTGAGGTGGTGCCTGGAAGGAGCCGCGGCTCCACAAGGGCAGTCCTTCTGCTTCTGCAACCTGACAAGGTCCCGGCCGTCCGTAGCTGCCCCTGTCGCCACACGCAGTTTTAGAGCTCTGCCGTCACGTCCAAAGCGCCTGTGAGGCTGAAGTAAAGGAACTTGCTTAGCACCAAGTGGGCCAGCCGTCTTGGAGTCCCGTTCCCACAGCACACGTCGCCAAGCCTCCCGCAACCTCTCCAAGAAGCCCTTGGCCGTCACCTCGGCGAAGGAGCCCATGGGCGTCACAAACAAAGAGCCACGGACGCACCACCGCACCTGCGAAAGTGCAGCAGCAACTTGTGGCCCAGCCGCCCCAGTGTCTCCAGAGCCCAGCCTCGTCCACTCTCTTTTGAGCACCGCCGCAACGACCGCGAACTCCGGGTGCAAGTCGACGCCAACGAAAGTCCACAGCAGCAGCGCCGACCGGCCTGTTGCAAGAGGCCCACCCCAAACTGCTGCCTCCACCTGCCACGACCAGTCGCGAAGGCTGGCCTTACTGAAGCGGGTCCACGGTGCCCTGAAGCGGAACTTGGACACCATGAGCAAACTTGCCAGCCTCGCCCTTGTTGTCGTCGAGACTGCAACTCGGCCGATGCGCCGGCCTCTGGTGCGTAGCGCCACCGTGACGTCCTTAGCCGCAAAAGCCTGGTGCCCTTCCAGTCTGTAGTTCACCCCCAAGAGCACGAAGTCCGTCTGGGGCACCCCGAGGAGGTCAGCGTGCTCCATTAAGGCTTCCCGCTTCGCCACGTTGCTTCCAAAGGCCGCGAGCTTTTCGGGGTGGAGCTCGAAGCCCATGGCCTTGTCCGCCACCTGCCCAGCCTGCGCCGCCTCCACCAGCTTCTCGACAGAGCCGTAGCCTTTTGTGTAGAGCGTGCGGTCGTCGAGGAAAATCCCCATGCGGATGCTGGGGACCGCCCGCTTGACATGGAGAGCCCACGCCGCCATCATGCCATTGACAAGCAAATTAAGGCGAGAAAGGGCATCCCTGCAACAAAGAGCACGTCGCCTTCACCGGTGTGGTTGCGAAACAACCCGCCGCCGCCACCCAGCGCTCCTGCTGGTCGTAGAAGCTTGCAAGCACCTGCAAAAGCCACCTTGGCGCCCCCCACCACTGAAGGACTCGAAGAGCAACCGTGGGTGCCACTCTGTCAAAGCACTTGCGGACGTCGGCCTTGCACCCCACAAAAGAGCGTGAGGTAGCTCTTTGCTGCACGAAGACGCCGAGGTCCTGGTGCACGGTGTCCGCCGATCTGCCTGGCAAGCCACCACAGAGCTCGGGTGGCATCCAGGCACCAAACCAAGCACGCAGCTGAGAAAGTAGCTCCGAAGCTCCCACCCTCCACGCCATTTGTGTCAAAGCCAACGGTCTGGAGCCGCCGTCGGGCTTCGGGATGGCGACCACTCGCACTTGGCGCCAGCCCTCTGGAACTCCACAGCCGCCTAGCACCAGTCGCCACACATCGGCCAAGCGGTCGAAGAAAAAAGGGGGCAGTTGTGCAAACAGGGTGCCAGTCCAGCCGTCCAAGCCGCCCGCCTTAGCCTTTGCTTTGCGCGCCCGACGAAGAAGACGGTGCCCGTCGACAGTGAAGCCTGCAGACAATGAAGGCCGGTCCTCGCCCAAAGCACACAGAAAACTCTCCAAGTTGTCAGCGTCCACGCCCGCCGCCTCGTTCCACAGCTGGCTCAAGGAGTCAGTGAGGCGCCTGGCCACGGCGCCCTTGCTCGGGCACTCACCGAGCTGCTTTGTGGTGCACGCCTCCTCCGCCTCCCTAGCCGTGACCCACTTTGCCATGGCCCCCACGTCGTCTTGGATCTCCTCCTTCCACCTCCGCACCCGGCATGCGCGCACCCGCTGGGCCTCCTGGTCCGCCTTGGCGAGGAGGTAGTAGGCCACAGTCTGGTAATCGGGCATGTCCAGCAAGTCCGGGTAGTCCTTGGCAAAGGTGGCCAGGTCTCGCTGTAGCTTGGCCCCCAGAGTGTCCGTGTAGTTGCGGCCCGCCTCCTCCGCACGACGTGCCACCCTTCGCAGCCGGCGCTCCCACAAACTTTGCACATCACGACATCGCCCTTGGTGCTGGTCCTGGGCGACAGGTTTGCCTGGCACGGCACGCGGCCGCGCAGGTCTGGCCTGGGGGTCCGCAAGGAGCTTCTCCGCTGCAGCCGACAAAGTTTGCCACGCTTGCGTCACGTTGCCCTGGGCGACGGCCGCGTCAAAGTCCTCGGCGAAGCCTTGCCACACGTCCTCCCAGTCCACACGCGCCTCAGATAGTAGCCGCCGCTGTGGTTGCCAACGCCAAACGGTCTCGTCCGGGTAGCCGCGCAGCCTGTAGCACACCAAGTCGTGGTCCGCCACACCCATCCATTGGCGGCGCTCGTCCACTGGCAAACGAGGTGAGGCGAGGCCAAAGTCGATGTGGGTTGTCAAAAGCCCCCCTCTCCTGTAAGTGCCCGAACGTGGGCATTGGCCGCCGTCCATAGTCCAGAGAACCCCCTTGGCCAACAGCCCGGCAAGAGGGAAAGCATCCTCGCGCAGGTTCCAGTCGCCCAGCAAGACGAAGTCCTCGCCAGTCCCCCGCGCCCACTCCACCGCGTCCATGGCCACCGTGTTGCCACGCACTTTGTCCGCCGCCGGCAGGTAGACGTTGAGGACCAGAAGGGGTCGTTGTTGTCGCCGGGCGACCTTAATGGCCGCCACCCGCCCTCCATGCTGCAACGAGCTGCGCCGGCACGTCAGTGATGAAGCCAACGCCCGCCGCCACACCTCCACGCGAGTCTCGGCCTTGGGATCCACGGTGAAATGCCCAGCCCGCCGCCCTAAAGGCCTGGAAGGTGGCCCGAAAGGAGTCAGAGGCAAGCATCGTCTCCTGAAGTGCCACCACATTAAGCCCCGCAGTAGTTGCAGTCGCCGCCGCCGCCCCCACTTTGCCCGTGAGGGACTACGTTAAGTGTTCCCACCCAAAGGTCACGGCTCGGGCCCGTCATGGTCCCTGCCGAAGCCCCGCCGCAAGCTGTGCCGTCTCAGTGTCAGCGGTAGCCGAGGCGCTCAAGGTTGTAGCGGGCCGCCTTGGCCCGAGCACCATCCTTCGCACTCACGATGTCCCGCATGGCCCCAACCGCTCGCATGGGTCGCCTCGCTCCAAGCCAACGTGCCACAGCGGTGGCACAAGAACTTCACCGTCCACTCATCCCCCGGCCATGCCACTGCCTCGACCTGGTGGTGCTCCGCCGCCTCCTCCGCAAGGGTGGGCTCAATGGTCTCGATCGTGTGCTCGATGGCCGCCCGGATCTCGGTGGTGGCATCCTCCTCCAACCGGGCCTTGAGTCGCCTAAGCATCTTATGCAAAGTGCCCGGCACAAAGCCCAGCACACAATCCCTGCCAGCGAGCACCTCGGCCTTCGCGGCGATGTGGCAGCACCGCTTGCAATAGATGCGATGCACCAATGTCTCGTGCCATGCCCGCTTGCGCTTGCCCTTCGGCGGCGGGATCGGGTAGGAGACCCAGCATGGTTGATGCCCCCCAGCCTTAGCAGCCCGAAGCCCTTGGATGCGTTTGGCTGCGCCCCGATTCCTGCAAGCTATGCTGGCCTTAGCTGCATTGCCCGTCCTGTCCTGCGGCTTGCCGTTGATGTAGAACAACTCCTTGGGCTCATCGGGATGGTGCTCACGCCTGTGCTGCATGCGCATTGTGCGCCGCCATTGTCCAGAAGTGCCGTCGTCCTTCATGCCCATCCCGCAGCCTGCCACCGGACACTTCCAGCAACATGTTGGGCTCCACGGCACGAAGACTGCCCGCTTCTCCTCCTTCCCAAGGGTGCCCGCCAAGTCCGGGTGGTGCTTTCGGATGTGGGCTGTCTTTAGCTGATGCCAGTGCCGCCCCGTTGCAATCCATCCACACTCCGGGCAAGGCCACGAGCTGCGAAGTTCCCGGCCCCTCGTCGATCGCACATGTCCATTGTGCCTGGTCGCCCTCGGCGGTGGTGGCACCAAGTCGGGCGCCTCCTCAATGAAGTCCCCCACGTCGAGCTCCTGCGTTGCAATGGTGCCCGCCTGCTCCTCCGCGTCGCCGCCGTCGGCAATCTCAGCCTCCTGGTCCCCGGCCGTTGCCGCCCTCAAGCTTGAAACCGCTAAGTCCCGGGATCCCGCCACCGAAGCCGCCCTCAAACTCGAAGCCCGAAAAGCAGCCTGGAGCGTGTGCACTGTGGCCCGACTGCCGCGCGACGCGCTGGCCGCGGCAGCTGGTCCTCGAACCTTGGCCCCCCCACCGGTAGTCTGGGTGTACACCGTCAACGCATCGATCTCCTGGTCCTGGGCCGGCTCACCGCGGCCTGCCTCAGCTGGTCCCCGAACACAAACTCCCCCGCCAGTGGCCTGGGTGTACACGGTCAAGGCGTCGATCTCCTCGTCGGGTTCACCGCCACCGCCCCGGCCGCCGGCTGGAACACCAAAGGCCGTAACACCTGTGATGGCCGCCGGGTAGCCCTTGGTCGCATCCTCGGGCAGTAAAAGGTCATAGTGATCACCATGGTACCACAAAGCCAAAGTCTTTTGCCCTGTCCCGTGCCGCGTCGGCGGGTCCTTGGCGGCCACCGGCACCACAATCAACGTCAAGTCGAAAGCTCTGCAAGCCGCCGTGAGCTCCAAACACCCAAGGTACTTGCCGTCGCCCGCCATCTCAGCCAAGTACTCCGTGAAGTTGGCGAGCTTGCCCTCCTCATCCGCCGTGTTTCGCCCATCCCAGAAGCCAGCAAACTCCTCAGCTTTGCGCGTCATGTAGGCGTGGATCTCCGCCCGAACCAAGCGCGCCGGCCGTTGCTTGTTGTCCTGCTTCAAGAAAGTCAAGCCCTGCCCCACCGAGCGCGCAAGGCAATTGCCATCACGGGGCATCGGCTTCAAGGTGGCCCCCGCCGGCACCGCACGCAGCTCAAGCTTGGCCTTCTTGCCCGCCGGCACCTCCTTCCCGGTCTCGTCCTTCGCCGTGGTCTCCTTGGCCCCGATCACCGTCGCGAACTGCTCCCTGGCAAAGGTAAGAGGCCGCTCCCGTGCAAGTGGCGCCCGAAAGCCCTGCCTCCTCGCAGCCAGCGCCGGCAGCACGAAAATCTCCACCGTCTCGGCCCCTTCTTTGACGCCTATGGTGGCCAAGTCCTCCTTGCCGGCCGCCCGCACAAACCATGTTGCCGTCCCCTTTCGCACCATCCGCGAAGTGACCGTCACCTGCGTGAAGCCGGCCTCCTCGAGGATCTCCTTGACCACCTCGGCGTCCCAATGGCGGGGAGCTCCCGGCACCCGCCAAGACCGCACCTGCTGCTCCGCCGGTGTCTCTGTCCTATGCCCAAGCTGGCGCCTGCCCATCACCATGCCCCACTTGCACTTGATGGCCGCGACCCTGCGGTAGTAGTCCTCGACCGCCTCGCCCTCCTTGGTTTCAATCCATGCCACCCCAAAGCTGGACGTCTTGCCCGTCGGCTCCACGAAGAGCCCGTCCTGGCCCGACCGGCCCAGCGTAGCCGCAATCAAGCTCTTCTTGACCCTGGCCAATCCCACGATTACCGGCCCCAAGCGCCTTTCCTCCGCCGCGCCCCAAGCATCGGTCACAGCAAGCCGTGCCATGACAAAGCCGCGGAACCCCCTTAAGGCATCCCTCCACGTCTTGTCCTCAGTCAGGTCCTTTGCCAATATCACCCGGACAATCTCCGTCTCCTCCGCCTTGATGGTTTGCATGCTGGTGCGCTTGCCCTTAAGCTTCGGCACCGCAATCGTGCCGTGGGGGAACTCCTTGAGCACAGCCGCCCTCATGGTCACGCCGGCCTCGGTCCAATAAGGCAGCCGAGTCTTGCCCTCCGGGTGCGGGTAGGCGAGCACAACAGATGCCTGAAGCCCCCCTCCCGCAATCATCGCCTCCGCCACCAGCGCCTGGTTCTCATCCCTGGCTCCAATCACAATGCCCTCGCCCGCGCCCTGGTAGGTCGCGAGCTCCTCCACCGTAAGCAGCTTGCCCGTCCAGTCGGAAGCCCGCAAAGACGCAGGCGCGATCTGCTTTGGCGCAGGCCTCGGAATCGGAGTGCCCCGGCCTTTGCCCTTCTCCTCGCCCTTGGCTGCTGCACCTTTGCCCTTGCCCCTTTGCACAAGGGACCAGCCATCACCACCAGTGGTCGGGGCCGTGGTAGCTGAAGTCGGAGCTGCACCACCGCCCTTGCCCTTGTCCTTTCCCTTGGCCTTGCCCGGCTCCTGCAAGCTCTGGACCGTCTGGTTGACGGCCGCCATCGGAGCACTAAGGTCACCTCCCTGTCCCGCCGCCAGCTGTGTCAAAATCTGCAGCAGGGACTGAATCAACGAAATCAGCATGCTGAGCTGTCCTGAATCAAGGGCTGGGCCGGGATTTGTGGCCTCGCCCACGCGCATGCCAGCGTAGCCTGTCAAGCGCTCCTGCCGTATGCGCGTTGTGCGCCTGGACCCCCCTGCCCCAGCATGAGGTCCTGGGTGGCTGGCTTCTCCTACTCGGATGCCCACCAGCCCCAAAAGTCGCGATCTGCCGGTTGTGCCCGGCTTCTCCCTTCTCACATGGCTCACCCCAAAGAAAAATCTCATCCCATTGAACTTGCCCCGCCCGAAGAAGACAAAGTCGCCCTCCTCGAAATCCCCTGAAGAAGTGGGCCCTGCATTAGGAAGCCAATGCCTCGGCCCTTTGCCCCGGTGAACCGCCTGGCTGGCGGCCCTCCCCTCTCTCTCCTCCCTCCCCAGCACACCAAGAGGCCCCATGTCGCCCTCGGCTATGCTCAGGGCATCTCTGAAGTCGTTCTGCTCATCGTTCGCTTCCCTTTCGGGTCCCGCTGCCGCCGCGTGTGTGTCTCTGTGTGTGTGT